CAGGCAAGGCCACATCAGTCCTAGGATGAGGTCTGCTCTGAGACTATAAACTCCCAGGTCTAAGGCTGTTCTAGGAAAGCAGGTACACAGGTGCATACACACTCCCCCCATATACATTCATACACACACACACACACACACACATTTCTTTTTTTTTCCCCAAACACAGGATCTCATGTGGTACCCATGGGAAAACACTTTTTGGCAAAGTGAAAAGAAAGGAATCCAAGGGGGTCTGGGTGGAACACTAACATCCACTACGTAATAAAACAGGGGTTTTACATAAATATCACAGATAAATAAAAGGGAAATGACTTTGGTATTTATTTATTTATTTTTTAAAGAGAGAGAGAGAATTTTAATATTTATTTTTTAGTTTTCGGCGGACACAACATCTTTCTTTGTATGTGGTGCTGAGGATCGAACCCGGGCCGCACGCATGTGCTGGGGATTGAACCAGAGCCTCTCAGATGCTAAGCACATGCTCCACCACTGACAACCATAGCCCAACCCTGAGTCTGGCAATTTTAGATGAACTATTGCAGCATTTTGTCCTTCTGTGACTGGGTTATTTCACTTAGCATAATGTCTTCAAGGTACATCAAGGATGTCTTATATTGTAGGATTTCCTTCTTTAAGGCCAAATAACATATCTTTATAGGTATATGACATATTTTCTTTATTCATCTGTAAATAGAATTTGTGGTTGTTTCCACATTTTGGCTGTTGTGAATAGTGCTGTAGTGAACATTGGGTGCAAATACCTTGTCAAGATCTGGATTTCAGTTGTTTGGGGTAAATACCAGAAATGGGATGCTGGATCATATGGTAGTTGTATTTCTAATTTTTTAAAAATATTTTTTAGGGCTGGGGATGTGGCTCAAGTGGTATCGTGCTCGCCTGGCATGCGTGCGGCCCAGGTTCGATCTTCAGCACCACATACAAACAAAGATGTTGTGTCAGTGGAAAACTAAAAAATAAATATTAAAATTCTCTTAAAATATATTTTTTAGTTGTAGATGGACACAATATCTTTATTTATTTATATTTATGTGGTGCTAAGGATCGAACCCAGTGCCTCACACCTGCTAGGCAGGCACTCTACCACTGAGCTACAGCCCTGGCCCTCTATTTCTAATTTTTATAGGAACCTATACTGATTTTTATAATGGCTGTAACATTTCACGTTCTTACCAATGATATTGGTCTCCACCTTCTCACCAACACTTACTGTTTGTGTGTGTGAGATGGTAGGTGCTAAGGGTGGGACTCAGGGCCTCTCACATGGTATCATTGTATGTATATGGCATATTTTCTGACATATTTCACTGCTTTACCTCAGCCCTGTCTTATTTTGGTTTTTCACTTTTTTCCTTTTTGATAATAGCCATCCTAACAAGTGTGAGGTGTTATTTTATTGTAGTTTTGATTGCATTTATTTCCCTGATTAGCAACATTAAGCATCTTTTCATATATTGTTAGCCATGTGTATGTCTTCTTTGGGAGAAATATCTCTTTTAAGTCTTTAGTGTATTTTAAAAATTGGATTATTTAATGTAGTCCAATTTTCTATTTTTGCTTTTGTTGCCTGTGCTTTTTTTTCAGGGGGTGAGGGGGTACCAGGGATTGAACTCAGGGGCACTTGGCCACTGAGCCACATCCCCAACCCTATTTTATATTTTATTTTAGAGACAGGGTCTCACTGAGTTGCTTAGTGCCCCACTTTTGCTGAGGCTAGCTTTGAACTCACAATCCTCCTGCCTCAGCCTCCCCAGCTGCTGGGATTACAGGCGCGCACCACCTCGACCAGCTTTGTTGCCTGTGCTTTTTGATATCATATCCTTGAAGTCATTGCCAAGACCAATATTATAAAGACTTTACCCCTCTGTTTCTTCTAGGAGTTTTATAATTTCAGGCCTTAAATTTAAATCTTAACCCATTTCAAGTTGATTTATTTGTATGGCATAAGATAAGGTTACACTTTCATTCTTTTACATGTGAATACCTAGTTTTCCATTTGTTCAAAGAGGCATCTTTTGCCCATTGTGTATTATTGGCACCCTAGTCAAGGTTAAATTGTATAGTCAGGCATTTATTTCTAGGATCTTCGTTTTGTTTCATTGGTTCATGTCTATCTTCATGTCAGTAAGGTGCTGTTTTAATTACTGTATCTTTGAAATGTATTTTGAAATCAGAAGCGCATTGCTACTGAGTGCCATGGTGCATGCCTCTAATCCCAGCAATTTGGGGGCAGGAGGATTGCAAGTTTGAGGCTAGCCTCAACAGCTTAGTTAGACCCTGTCTCAAAATAAAATGGACTGGGGATATGGCTTAGTAGTAAAGTTCCCCTGGGTTCAATCCCCAGTACAAAGAAAAAAAGTAATGCCTCTAGCTTACTTCTTTTTAAGATTGTTTCAACTATTTGGAGTTTTTTATGATTCCATATGAATTATAGAATTGCCTTCTCTATTTCTGTAAAAAGTGCTATTGTATCATATTTAATTTTTATCATCAGTGGTTCATAGTTTTCAGGGTACAAGGTTTTGCCTCTTAATTTTATTTTTAGGAATTTATTCTTTTTGATGCTAATATAAATTGTTTTCTCAGTTTAATTTTCAGATAGTAATTTTGGTTTATAAAAACACAACTGATGGTTTGTATGTTGATGTTTTTGTATCCTGCCACTTTACTGAATCCATTTATTCTAACCATTTTATGTAGATTTTTTAATATATATACTGGAGATTGAACTCAGGAGCATTTAACCACTGAGCTACATCCCCAGCCTTTTTAAATTTTTATTCTGAGACAGAGTATTGCTGAGTTGCTTAAGGCCTCTCTAAGTTGCTGAGGCTAGTTTTGAATTTGCAGTCCTCCTGCCTCAGCCTCCCCCTGGGATTCTAGGCATGTACCACTGCACCTGGCTTATATTAAATCTTCAGGGTTTTTCTACACATACCATAAGACCATGTCATCTGCAAACAAAGATAATTTCACTCTTTCCTTTCCAACTTGGATATCTTTTATTTCTTTTTCTTGCCTAATTGCTCTGCCTAGTTTTTCAGGGCTCTATTATCATGGTAAATAATATATTAAAATTAAATTTTAGTAATTTCTCACATCCTATGTTTTAAAAAATATTTTCCATGTTCAAAAAAGTTGAAGAATGAAATACAATGTTCTCTGTCAAAATTCTTAAAAGGTTCACTTGAAAGCAAGTCACAATAAAGTATTGGGATTGCAGTTTAGCTCAGAAGATATTTGTTGTCAGGTGAGGTAGTGCCTGCCTGTAATCTCAGCAACTCAGGAGGCTGAGGCAGAAGGATGGCAAATTCAGGCCAGCCTGGGCAACATGGTGAGACCCTGTTTCAAAATAAGAAAAAGAGGAAAAGGATTTGCCTCTTGAGCACATTCTGCCTGCAGACTCTCTGCTTATTCCTTTCCTAACCAAAAAACCATCCACACGAATCAGTCATGTTGGCTCCTCTCCTGTTCCCCATAGTTATACAACATAGAGAAAACAAGATTCACCTGGAATCATGGGGCTGGCAAGACGGCAGCCAGGATTGGGACTTACATCTTAGGCTCCAAGTCTTGATACTCTTTGCACAGCCTCCATTCTTTTCTATGTAGTGATGATTCAAGACCAGAATTAAGCATTGAATGATAGAAGTAGTCTGAAACTTAGTAGTTATCCAGCCATATCCTTTTGTGTAAGGTTGTTTAAATTCATAGTAATAACAGTAATAATAATAATTTTAAAATAACAAACTTAACCTGGTCAGATGATATTCATTCAGGATATTAGAAGTAACAACCTGGACTTATTTTTTTTCACTTTGGGGATGATTGAAATTAAATTGAAGATAATTTACAGTGTTGAGCATCAGATGCCTAAACCCATCTTCTTGCTTCTAAGAAGCAACGTTGCTCCTTAACCATCTCAGTGATTTCTAGTCCTCTTATCTCCTTATCCTTACCATATTAAGATAGACAAAGTAATTCATAACTAGTGGCAAGTAACCAGATAAAAGGTTCAATATCTCAGTGTGCCTGTAACACATTCATGTATCAGGTGGGGGTCTCTGAATTGGACTTCTTCATGCAACATGGCAGACAGGAAATGCTGAAGAATGTTCTACCTTCAAAATAAGTAGATCCTAAGGCTGAGCATGGTGTCGCATGCCTGTAATCCCAGTTATTCAGGAAGGCTGAGGCGGGAGGATCACAAGTCCAAGGCCAGCCTCAGCAGCTTAATAAGACCCTGTCTCAAAATAAAAAAAAATAAAATGAGCTGGGGGTATAGCTCACTCACTGATAAAGTCTCCTTGGGCTCACTCCCTAGTACCAAAAAAAAAAAAAAAAGTGGCTCTTACACCAAATACTTAAGTAAATAAACTACTAAGAGTAAATATCAGCAGAAACAATAGATTCCTCAGAGATGTAAAATATATGATAATCAAGTACACAGAATATAAGGAAATGAAATATGATATGTTTAAAGAAATAAAAGATAGTCACAAAAAGAGAAAGCAACAAGAAACTATAAAAATGATTAGGCCAGATTTGCCCTGGAACCAAATAGAACTTGTAGAAATGAAAGTGTTTTAACACAAAAACACATCATAAATAGGCTAAAGGGCAATTTAGACATGCCCAAAGTGAACAGAAAAC